TAGACTCTCTCTCTCTCTCTCTCTCTCTCTCTCTCTCTCTCTCTCTGTCTCTCTTTTACTCCGATTCAAGAACCGCCCCCGTCTCCCCTCTGCCGTTCTTTTCTACCTTCCGCCTTCTTTATCCTCGTCGCTCTTGGTCTATCCGCGTGGCGTATAGAGGCGGGCCACCGGCAAGAAGTAGACAATTCACAATTAGCAAACACAAACAGAAGTACGAGTGGCTTCAAGTTGGTTGGGACGCGGTGGCAACGGGCTTAGCCGGAAGCAAATGGTGGGGTAGGGACTTCTGGGATGCGAAGCGACTAGCTTGGCAGTCCCTGAGCGTCAGCCTCCGCTCCAGAATCTCTCTTCACGATTCTCGGCCCAACAGAGACCGGCGAAGGCGCGTGTATTCTGGAGATAACGGGTGTTGTGTTCTTCTCCTATATATATATGCTATATTTCGATTGGTCAACGATTCCGGGAATCGAAACGGGAATCTGATTCGATTCGATCGTTGAAATAGCCATCATCAGTTTAAACGTAGGATTATTTACGTATTATTTAGATATATCGTTTGCCCTGCGTTCTTTCCTCTTGGAACCTCTTGGATCGTATCGTATCGATTCCTCGACTCTTTAAATATTTTCTTTTCACAAGTGATCGATCGATCGATCGATCGATCGCGCACCCTACAACAAATCTACGGGCGCAAAGAGAGGATTCGTTCGACACGATTCTAGTAGAAAATGTAAGACGTAAAATTGATCGGTAATGTCAAACAACGCTCCCTTTCTCCTCCGCGATGATATCTGTTCCGATCGATCGATCGTACGATTTTCTCTGGTCCCGTCTGGTATCTGGTACACCCGGTATATACGCGCATCGGGCTCTCACCGTTGCGTTGGAACACTTGAAGCCCCAACCAGTTACGGCAACAATAGGCTTTGTCTTCGCGCCGTCGGCGCTCGCAAATTGGTAGAAATCTTGATTAAAGGTGCAATTCCGCTGCTGCCTACGGACAAATATGAATTGCACCCCCAATGCTCCCACCCTCGCCTCGCCTCCCGCTCCACCTCCCTCTTCTCCTCCGCCCCCCCCTTTTTTTTACCGCTCCGACAAATGAAAATGGAAAAAACGTGTTGTTCGCTATCTTCCATGCGCTTCTTATAGCGCGACAAGTCTGCCGGCTTTCAGGCAAGGATCAAGATGGGACTATCCCCTTTGAAATCAGACACTGTCTCGTTAAAGATATCGTCGATACGGTTAAGAGGAATGTTGATCGTTTTCTCTCTCTCTCTCTCTCTCTCTATCCGCATCGTCCCCTTCCCTCCGCTTCCTTGTTACCTCGTTTCGCTCGTTTCGTATTAAGAAAGAGATGTATTTCATGGGGCCAACTCGGACGTATTTATCCATCCGGTGATGCATCCGGCGATTCGATTTCGTTCACAGTTCCAGCAGATAATCCGATTGCGAGATTACACGGCGAGGTTCGGAGATCGATAGAGCATGATCCTATAGGCGATAGGAATAGGGAGAAACAGCAAGACGCGTATAGAAATGGAATAATAACCGCGTTGTATACGACAGATGCGACACGACCACTTGCGATAATCCGCCTTGGATTTATCCTTTTCGAGAAATTTCCCGAAATAGGCTGTGTATTTCGTGCGCGCGTATATCCGCCCGAAATTGCTCGTTAATAACATTTTGATTCGCGTTGATTTTTATCTTTACGTTCAATTACATCTTGTGAATTCTTTTCTCTTTTTTTTTTTCCACGCGTTCCACACGTTTACCCTACGACCCCCTCTTTTCTCTTTTATTTCTCTATAATAAAAAAAAATATGAAAATCGAGAAATCTTGATATTATCCGATTGGAATCTCCTGCACACGCATCAATAGTCCCTGAAGGCTTCGACGCGTTCATGCTCATCCTATGCAGAACACACATCACAAAACTGAGTCAATTTACATAACGATAATTGAAACGTACATGAAAGCCCGTTCCCAAGTCATGGCAATACCATCAGCAAACGGGCTTTGAATTTCGAAAAGCGTATCGATATTCTCTGCAATCGTGTATCGATCGATCGATCGAGAGAGAGAGAAAGGGAGAGACTTACGAAACAAATTTGCTTGAAAAATTGCTCTGATACTTGTTATTAATTTTAACGCGCATCGCAGATACAGCGGAATATTTTGAAAATTTCTACAAAATAAAGATTTTTGTAAAATTTGGAAGATCGATGAGTAGGATGTTACAGAATAATTGCAATTTCATTAAAAAGTAATGTTAAATATATATATATATAAGAAATATGTAATGTGACATCAATATAGAAAGAAATAGATTTAAATGTTAAGATTTTTAATCAAGATGTCGAGCCAATCTTATTAAGAAATTTTGGAAAGTATGGAGAAAAAGAGCAAATGAGTGGGAGAAGGATAGAGATAGATTAAAAATTATGGAATCAGCGCCATCTCCAGAGTGCCGCAAACGAAACACATGTAGATAAGGAGAGCAAATAAAAAAAGAAAGATAGATATAGAATCAAAATTAACTCTTAACGCCATCTCTCGAGTGTTCTGAAAACATTTCTAGGCAGGGTAAAGTAGAACAAAGTAGAATTAAGTATCAGTGCCATCTGTTGAGTAAACATGTGGAAAAATGTCGTTAGTATTCAAGAGATGGCGCTAACGTTCAGTTATTTTATTATTTTATATGTCTGTCCTTCTCTCGTTATTTACTTTCCTTATCTATACTTGCTCTTCTTTCTTATAACCTTGTTTCATGAGTCGATGAACGATTTGCAAATCCATTTTGTACATTATATATAATTCATGTCCAAAATATATCGGTATATGTAAATTATCTATTCTAAAAAATATTCAAAGTACAGCATACAGTGAATTATATAGAAATATATAGAATAATTAAATAGAAATAAAGTAAGTAATTAGAAATAGAAGTTATTATTAATGTCGAAATATATGTTTATTATTTTTCTTTTCAAATTATTTATTTAAGAGTTAATATATTATAGAGACGAAAAATGTTTAAATGACAAACTTTTCTAATTCATTAATATACACTTTTTATTTTTTCAGGATCCTTACGAATTTTATGTAATTTACGGATTACTATCTAAAAAACGGAAAGTCAATTTTATATATATCTCATGGATAGCTATTTGCCTTGTATTCTTACTGGTTTTATATTTTATGCCTTTGGCCTAAAATGGTGTTATGAATATGCTAAGTATTGGGTATCTTTGAGACCAAGAGATGATCCACACGCGACGAAGGGATTAAGATTCATAGAAAAATGTGAAAGACTTATAAATAGACATCCTATAGAAGGAAGTTTGAAGCTAATAGCAACCGCTGTAGGATTAGCTGGTACGTTAACCGGTGGTCTGCAACAAGTTGGAACTGTTTCACCAAAAGTTGTACTTGCGACAATCTATTTATTCTTTGCATTTTCCGGTCTAGTCGATGTTTTAAACTTTTATTTTCCTCATAATGTTAGCGAAGGATTAGTTAAATTGGCGCTTGCTCAAAGTTTTTTCATAGAAGGATTTTTATTCTTATTGGGAAGTGTTGGAAACAATGCATTAGTTGATAAAATTTTAGCCCTCATAGTATGGACAACATCTTTGGCTATTACATTAGAACTTGTATGGCCCGAATTGAAACTATTAAGAGCTTGTACAACCTTACTTCACGGTGGTTGGATAGCACATGTAGTAAGGGTATATCATACAATGCCAATGTTACCAGAAGGTATTGCATTGATATTTTCTTGGCACGTAGCTGCTGCTTCGGCTGTAACATTATGTGTAGTAGCTGCAACAAGAAGTTGTGCTCCCAAACTCATGATGGAAGAACCACCAGAGATACCTATTTATGATTATTGTCAAGAACCGGACCAGAGAATGTAGACCATTTGAGTGGATGCAATATAACTTTGTGCCAATATGAAATTTTTATAATATGCACAAAAATAATATTTTTAAAGTAGTAAATCATTAGTACTGTAGAGATCAAAATATCAAAACATAAATCAATTATAATTTTTACACGCAATATTAATATTTTTTTACTTAATATTTAATAACTTCATTTTATAATACAACGAATAACTCTATTTTTAACTATATTTATACAATAAATGTGTATAACATAAACAATTTTGTAATATCCTCAAGTTGTAGGTAAAATACTCATTAGGAATTAAGAGGTGCCTTATTATTATTATTATTGCTCACTTATTTATTAATAGAAAAACGCGTAATTTCATCTTTTGTAATATGTTTTTTATATTCTTCACAAACTTCACTATTATATGTACCAAAGTATCATATAATTGTACATTGTAAATATATTTTTTTTTCTATTAAACTTTATAATCCATAAATTTATTATAAATTTATTAAATAATTATGTAATAATAATTAATAAATAGTAAATTTTCCTTTTATATAAATTCGTTTTATCTTATTATATAAAGAATGAAAATTGAAAAAAATCTGAAAATTAATTATTAATGTTTTTTATTCGTTTATATAATTATATAAATTACAATCAAACTATAAAATTAGACATTGATTTGAAATTCATTGTAATACCAACATTGATACGATATATGTCTCTATTAATAACCTAGATTTACTTTTCGAACTAGTTATATATCCGAATTATAACTATAGTGTTATCTTTTTATCAATAATAACAATAAATTCAAATCTTGGTTAGGTTTTCAATAATAGTATGTAATATAATAACAATAATGTATTACTATTTAAAAGATTTCTTTCATTATTTGATTAATTTTTATCTATGTGTGATATATATAAGTCTGCAATGTAGTGCAGTTTATAGTCAATAATCATGGCCTGATGCTATTTTACTTTTTGAAAAATAAAGAGAAAGAAATGGAAACAGCAACAATTATAGAACCTATGGAGGAAAGTCCTGAAAAGATTCAAACAAGTCCTCCAATACAAGTAGTGAGAGTTCCAGTAAAGCATGCTAATCTTGGAATAAGAAGCCATGCCATGTAAGAGATTAATACAAGAAAATTGCTTACTATTATGATTACTATTTATTATTATTATTACTTATTATTACTATTACTACTTATTATTATTATATATTTTTCAGGGATATGAGCACAATGGTGGAGCTTACATCTTTCAGTACACTTGGAAAAATACAACCATTTTTAGTTACTATAACAACTACTGCAGCATTATTGGTAGATTTACATTGTCATTTAACAGATAAAGAAGTTTGTGGCTATTTAGGTGGTCACTGGGATATTAATTCACACAGTAAGTAGTAGTATATGTTTCTATAATGTTCGATATAGAATTGATTATAAAATTTTTATTATTAAAAATTATTATTTTTTTTTTAAACAATAGATTTATCTATAACAACTGCTTTCCCATGTCGTTATTCTGGCAAAGATAAATCAGCTGCAGCTGCAGTTGAAACTGAAATTGCAAGAGCAATGGAATGGAAACATGTGACTTTAGTTGGATGGTATCATTCTCATCCCAGATCTCATGCTTCTCCTTCTCTTAGGGATGTTGATTCACAATTAGATTATCAAATTAAGATGAAAGGTCCTAGCGATAATGGTTACACACCATGTGTGGGTTTAATATGCTGTATGTTTTTTTATTATATATATATATAATATATAAAATGGGATTTATCATATAGAATTTTGTAATTGAATTCAAAGAAAATATTATTTTCAGCACCTTATAATACAGATGGTAGTTGTTATGAATCAAATTTTAATGTTTTTTGGTCCCTACCACCTCCCGAAAATCGGCCTCATGAATATCCAAGACCAATGCTTTTGAGTTACACATTATCTCAAGAGCACTTTCTTTCTCAAGATACATTAGAAGAAATTGTAAATCCATTATTCTATATAATTAATAATTTGTGCAATGCAAAATCTCTTTAATATATTTTTATATTATTTCTCATATTTTGCTTTTAGAGAAGATGCATAGAGTATTATAAAAGTGAGGGAGGTATTGATTTTACTGCCAATTTTAACAATAATACGACTTATCTTGAACGTTTAAGGGTAAGTTTATAAAAAAATGAGATAAAAATAATATTAATACTATCTCAATAATATTTTAATATTTTTAGTGTTCTTTAGCATCCAAGTTACCAGGTCGTAATAGATCGAACGGTTCGTACTGGGATATAATTAGAGAAATGATTTGTCCTGGTTCTGAAGATGGAACTTCACCGGAATTTCTGACTATGAAATTTCCTCTGGTACCAGTTTCAGAATCGCTTGTCCCTTCAGTTCCACCAGGGGTTGGTCTTGCACCTAATAATGCAGCTGTCTTCCTAACACCTGTGAACTTTAAACCTGACGGAGCTATAATTACACCTACATCAAAATCTTTTGTGATGCAACCATCTACTTCTAGAGATAATATTAAAAAGGACATTATAACTACGGATTCCGCATCTATTACGCAATTAAAGGATGGAAATGCTTCGTCTAAACAACATATATCATCATCAGAAGTAATGCCCAGTTTTCAATCTGGAGAACTTACAGTTTCTGTAAAAAATGCTAAATGTGATTACGATTTTGCACCTACTGATTTCTCGAAAATATCCAATCCTCTTGGAACTGATACAAGTATCAATAAAACGCGATCATCCACAACATCCGATTCCCTTTAGCTGATATAACGCAACAAATTTCTAAGTTTTCAGATCTATCAAAATTAGCTAATTTTTCCACAGCAGATTTAGCAAAACTCTCTGGATTTCCTATTCCAGATTTTGCGAGAACATCATCGCCATCGCCGTCTGCATATATGCGTAATATTGCAAATTTATTTGGTCCAATCGGAAAAATTTCTCCTGCAAGAGATATTGAATCGAACGAACGTAAATCAAACGATTTCAGTATAGTTGATCCTATTCAATCGCCATTTAAAGTAAGTTCTGGATCTTCGGAATCTTGCAGAAATTTTTCTGTAAATCCGGAAGATTACTCGACTGATCGTAAAAAAATGGACGTACAAAATGATAACGTAAAGCTCAATCGATCGAATGAGTATCAAGGAACAGAAGATCTCTCAATTTCTAAATCTGAATTTAGTGGAATGTTGGACATGACTACAATTCATAAAAAGCAACAACAGTCACAAAGTGGTGATATTGGCGATTCATTAAATTTATCAAAAGATCGTCAATAGTTTCGCTACATTAATCAGTATTTCAGGATTATTATTATTTCTGTCTCTTCATATTATATTGTCTATCTCCTAAAATATATTTAAATGTGACTTTTATTCTTACATTTATTACTTGCGCAATACTTATACATGTGCAAATTAAATTATTATTTTTGTTTTTAATTATAGAAATATTCAAATCAATGCGATTATTTTTTACATTTATTGTACTTAATAAACTAATGTTTTTTTAATATTTGTTCTCATTCGTTTATCCTTTTCTATAAATATTATATGTGTATATAATATATATAATTTTATTTTAAATAATAAAAAGATATATTGTATCTACATGTATAGAAAATATAGACACATATATTGCATCATTTTATGTAGTACTCGCTTGGGAATAAATGTACATTTCTCAACGTAATATTCGTAAGTAATAAATTATAAAGTTTATCAAAAGACATTAATTAAGCAAGTATTTGTGAACGACAAATATAATTTTTATATAATATCTATATTCATACAGGTAATATTTGAAACAAAATTGTAACAATTGCGTTATCTAAGGTTAGAACATGTTATATCGTGACAAATGAAATAAACTTGTGTTATTATAAGAATAATTATGTTTCGACCATCAAGAAATTTATTATATTCTTTACATCGTGTCAAGAAATGTTGTGTAGTTTATTTTAACCAGGATTTATCAGAAATAGAGAATGAATGTAAGAATATTATTTTATACAATTATATATATACTTACGTGTTTATATGTTATAGTATATTAATTATATTTTTTATTAATTCTAATGCATTACGTTTTTATTTCAGCTATTTTCTCAGATGAATATAAAAGCAGATCTGCAGAAGGCAAGCCACTTTATTTGGATGCTCAAGCAACTACACCTATAGTAAATAGATCTGATAAATTATAATATAATTATTGACATTGAAATTTAAATATTTTTAATCTTTCTGTAGGATCCAAGAGTACTAGATAAAATGATGCCATATTTTACAACATATTTTGGAAATCCACATTCTAGAACTCATGTGTATGGATGGGAATCAGAAGCAGCTATTGAACTTGCACGTAAAGTTAATATCATATATAATTTAAATTTAATTAAATTACATTCATTGAAAATAATATGTAACAAAATGATAATCAAATATTTCATTTTTAAAAGCAAATAGCAAATATAATAGAAGCAGATACCAAGGAAATTATATTTACATCTGGAGCCACAGAATCTAATAATATAGCCATTAAAGGTGTTGCAAGGTTCTACAAAGAAAAAAAAAATCATATTGTGACGACTCAGATAGTATGTTAATAATATTGGATTATATATAATATATAATATTATATTAATAAATATATTGTTACGAATTTATTTTTATATATAATTTTATTAATATAGGAGCACAAATGCGTATTAGATTCTTGTAGAGCTTTGCAAGCAGAAGGATTTGATGTAACTTATATTCCAGTAAATGAAAATGGTCTCATTAATCTTAACGAATTAGAATATGCAATAAAACCAACTACCTCCTTAGTTTCTGTGATGATGGTAAACAATGAGATTGGTGTACAGCAACCAATTACAGAGATTGGTGCTATTTGTAGGTAAGGAAAAATATATATTATGAATTCAGATTTAATACGATCATAAATTTTATTAATTTTATAATTTATCTATTAATTTATAGAAAAAAAAAAGTGTTTTTCCACACAGATGCAGCTCAAGCAATAGGTAAAATTCCAATTGATGTTAATAAAATGAATATTGATTTGCTATCTATCAGTGGCCATAAATTATATGGTCCAAAAGGTATATTTAAAATATATTTTTGTTGTATTTTTTAAATTATTGGAATATTCTTATGTTAAAGAATATAATGGAATTTTTAGGAATTGGAGCTTTATATGTAAGAAGAAGACCAAGAGTACGTATAGAAGCAATTCAAAGTGGTGGTGGTCAAGAAAGAGGTATGAGAAGTGGCACTGTTCCAACACCTTTAGCAGTAGGACTAGGAGCAGCTTGTCATATAGCACAAACAGAA